GGTGATTTCTCGCTTTCTGTCTCTCTGTCTGTCTCTGTCTGTCTGGCAAGTGCATGTGCCCTATAGCAAAAACCTCTCCAAAAAAATAAATAAATGAAACTACTAGCATAGGAACAACAATCTCTTGCACCTTTCTACATCCTAATCAGACTTACTTGTTTTTTCTCGCTCTATTTTCTTCTCCTTGAGGTAAGGGTACAAATTCTTCTAGGAAAAAAACCTGATACACATGTCTCTGAATCCTTCGAAGGACCTAGTAATACTATTGCACAGACAGGAGGAATCGGTAAATGTATACTAAAGGCTACATGAATGAAAAAATAGAAGACCTCAGTGAGTACTCATTTAAAAATTGTAGAAATGGTAGCTCAATTCTTTTAAGAGAGAATGTCTCCAGTCCTTTCCCCTACGTCATTGAATAAACCCACACGATGCACTGTTCCTGGTGGATGTTTAATGATACTCCTAATTATGTCTCTGTTCTCAGAATTGCTAAAGTTCCTTCCTATTTATTTCTTGGTAAATCTACCCTGCAGTTTCTACAAATCTATTGTTTAATTTTATTCTTATGGGCGTAACATTATTTTCCTCTCTGTTGCTATGCCTCTTTCACACACACACACACACACACACACACACACGCACTACTTTTTCTATTTACCCAAGCATATATTTTTTTATTAATTTTTCTACAGTGACTTACAGTAGGGTCCTTTAACTGGGCACTCATCTGTTATCTGACCACTTTATATCTATTCCCCCATTACCTCTCACCCTAATTTTATATTTATTACATTGGGGGTTTTATTCAACAGACGTGGACTGTGTGTTTAATACAAGTGAGGTGGACGTTTCACTCTTGTGACCACACGACACCAGCTTTTACTTAGATGACAATGGATGCTTTAGCCAGGTCCTGCGCTATTTCTCAGCTTCCAGATCACTGTGGTGAGGACAAGTGGGACTCTTTTTCAGAATCTCCTGAGGAGGGGTTATGATTTGGAAAAATCACATCCCACTTTAGAGTTGGTTTTATTTATTTTTAGTTGGCTGTTTAGTTTATTCTGAATGTCTGACTGACATGCACAAGGGAGGGGTCCAGATATAAAAAAGGAGAGACACTGCTTTAAGTCACCTCAGGGGATTAAGATCTGCTGAGCTGGCAGAAGGGGACATTTACTTTTCATCTCCCAAACTGTCCAAATTCTATAGTGTGAATAAACTTCATACTTGGCAGCGACGCGTCCTGTGAGAAAGGCGAGCAGATGCCTCGCTAATGGCTGTGTGGTGGAAGGAAAGCCATTTTGAATATCTTCAGCATCAGGGTGCCTGTCTGCCTGCTGACTCGAGGCAGCTTCACACCTCAGCCTGCGTTCTGAACCTGTCAGACGGCATGTTGGGTACACAATTTCCCCGAGTGGGAAAAGTTGGCTGTTCAGTAAACCTGAACCACTTGTTGAAATGTTTGAGCAAAAAATCAAGAATTATAAATGAGCTGGCTCCCAAGACAGAGTGAGCCCTGCAAGGTAAGCAAGGAGATGTGCTCTGTCCGTCCTAAGCTAAGGGCAGAGGAAGCTTGCCGGGAATCAGGGAAATCTCAAGCACCATAGCCTCCTCTGAAATTTGAGAGAAGCTGAGACCGTACTATGCTTTTATTTTAAGAGAGGTTTTTACTACAGGGCGCGTGCACTCGCCAGACAGACTGAGAGAGACAGAGAGACAAAAAGTGAGAAATCACCCCCCAGGGGAGATGGCCACACCACAATCCCTTCTCCTCCATTCTCCTCCCGGGATCTTGGGCACACACGCACACGCACCCAGTGTGAGTTTAAGCCACTGGGTCTGGGACTCGAACTGTGATTGACTACGTGGGAGTCCAGCGACATAACCATTATGCTAGCTGCTGGTCCCTGTAATGTGCTTTTTAATACCTCCGTTACTTAGGAACATGTGCAAGATACGAAAAGAGTTGGAAGAAATGATGATCTTAATTTCTGTAGCACATCAGGAACCGCCTACACGGGCAAGTAGAATTCTCCCGGTGTGTGTGTGAAACGTTTGGTTGTAGGCAAAGGACTCAGCTGCTCTCTACCTGGATGGGGTCTCCGGTCACAGGATTCATCACTTCCTTTGCTGAAATTCTCATCCCCAAGGCAAAATTAGCCACTCTCTGAGCATGGCTTCCAACAGGCACTGGCACACCTCCTACCACCATATACGCATCTCCTATTGTCTCTACCTGTCAGGAAATTTTAAAACATAATATAAAACAATGTGTATTCAGAGGCTTTCCTTCACTGAACTAAACATATCACTAAATGTTTTCACACGTTGACAAAAGAACAATATTAAAGCCAGTAATTCTCTGCTCAAAGTATGAAGTACATGAAGAAGATAGAATGAAAAAGGAGGCAGGAAACACCCATGTGAGAGTCCAAAGGCCTTTTTTTCTTTTAGTGGAAACAAATCCCAGAGAAGACAAAGCACTTGGGGGAGTCGTGCAATGCTACACATCAGATGATACATTATTTGGATTAGACTTTCTGCTGAATTTAGGAGTAGGAGAACTATTCTCTGGAAAAACAGTGTTTGCTCCTCAAGGAAACCAGCGTACCATTTTAGCACTGGATATTATAATAAACCGATTCCTAAAAAAATGTAAACTTCCTAAAATACTTTCAGTTGCTGTTAGCTCTTCCCCCTTTAGCCTACCATTCCCATCCACACCAAGCCTCAGGCTGGCGCAGATAGAGGCAAAGGAAGACCTAGAATCAGTACTTGCTCTGCCGAGAACGCGGACACACCACTCGCTACACAGAGCTTACTTTGTAGACCTCGTGGACGCTGGTTAATCTGTCAAACTTGGAGTACATGGAATTCAGCATATTCACTATTTGGATAGGTTCACAGGCAGCACAGATGTTGGTGAATGTCACCACGTCACTGAAAAGGATGGTGCAGGTTTTAAATTCTCCTGCAAGAGAAACCATGTATCAATACCAGCCAAGGATATAGAGTAATGATCCCATAAATTCTAGGTGCAAGTGCTCTTTGAGAATAAAACCAGCTTGTACCTTGAGGCAAAAGAAATAAATGTCATTTACCGCTTACCAGTCCCTCTGTAGACATTTATTGAATGTCTGCTGCAAGCTAGTCATCATGCTAGTACAGTCATAGCACGTGAAGCAAAGCAGATGGGCCCTGCCCTGAAGGAGCTTCCAGTCGGATGAAGGAGATATAATAAATGAATATTCTCAATTCAATGTGACAAGTGCTGTGGGATGACAGGAAGGGTCCCTAGCAAGTGGGCCAGGGCAGAGCCTAAAGCCAGGAAGAGACTCAGGGGCATGGCTGGTAGAAAGCCATGAAGTGCTGAGTCCCCGTCTTTGTATGACAGGGAAGTTACCAAGTCCTCATATATCTTTTTACCTCATGCCCCAGCTTCTACTCTGGCCCCCGCTTGAGTTAATTTCCACATGTAGCCAGATGTCTTATTACGTCAGATCCCTCATTGCTGTACATCACATCTTTCTCAAGTTCCACCACATTTAGACCTACAAAGTGTTCTCCTACCCCTGTCCCTGCTATCTCTGACCTTGTATCTCGATCCTGTCCCTTGGCTCACTCTGCTCTGGTCACACTGGCCTCCTTGGGGTTTCTCTAGTATGTTAAGTACTTCCTGCCTTAGGGCCTTTGCACCTACTGTCTCTTCTGCCTGACACATCCTTTTTTCAAATATTTGCAGGGCTCTGTCCTTCAGGTCTCAAATGTAATGAATTCAGTGAGAACTTCTTTAACCATCCTACCTAAAATTCTAGAGGATTCTATCCTCTGGCTTGATTACTGCCCCCACTCCATAGAACTTACATGGCAAATATTTTATGTGAAATTTCTTATCTGTTTTTTTTGTCTATCTCCCCTACTGGGACACTAAGCTCCATGAGATGGAAGACTATCTGTTTTGATCTCTGCAGAATCCCTGGCACCTAGAGCAGGATCTGTACATAATAGATGCTCAGTAAACATTTGTTGAGTGGGTGAATAAGTGACTCCTTGAAAACATTGGGTGCTTTCTGTATTATTTATTCTTTTGGTGGCAATGTCCCCTTGATGTAATTTTTGGCTACTTGTTCAAGACGCCACCCTCATCTCACTGCATATGCCCTAGATCTTAGTTTTTATTCAGAGTCTATAATTACTTACCACCCACTATAATAATCCCAGACCTATTGCTCCATGCCAGAACTTTCCTTTGAGCTCTCCCTGCAGTTTTTAACTACCTGTTGACCCCTCTTAGTGAAGCATCTCAGATGTCTCAAAACTCAACAACTCTACCCTACTCTCCCTGCCCTTTTTTCTGAGTTGATCTTAGGATAAAGCAACACACTTGACCATGCTGGAAATCACTTACCCCTGGCTATAATCTTGCCCATCATACCAGTTATGAAATCATATTGCTTCAGTTCAGGCTTTTGCCGTCATTCAACCAGCCTCTGATGGGCTTGCAGTCTGCCTCCCTCTAATGCAGTCACTACACTGCAGCCAAAACTATATTTTTAAAACCAAGCGTGTCACTTCTAAGAAAAACAAAACAAAACAAAACAAAACAAAAAAACCAAAAAAACTTCACGAATCTTCACTGCCTACAAAATTAAAGACAATTTCCTTCTTCATAATAATCAAGACTGAACACTGTTTCATTTGAGCCTCATCTACCTATCCAACGTCTTTGGACACCAATTTTTCACATGCCTCTGTGTTCTAAGGACCATGCACGGCACTATTTACTGCTTCATTCCCTTGCCTTTGCTCTTAACTAAAATTCAGCCACAATGTCAGACTCAAATGCAACACATTTTTGTGACATGCCATCACAACTCCACCCTGCCCCTATGTCTCTTTCATTTCTGACACCTATTTATTATCAATTTTCTTGTAATCGGTATTCCCACAATACTTTTTGTGGAAAAGAGTACCGACTTTTGGAGTTAGCTAGACTTAACATGATTAGTTTCCAACACATTTCCTAGAAAGCTGAGTGAATGTCAGTTTGCTCAGGTATGTAGTATAGATAACACTTCTCTCATAGAAATGCAGAGGGACCAGCAGATGGTGTAATGGCTATGTCGCTGGACTTCCATGTAGTCAACCAGGATTCGAGTCCTAGACCCGGTGGCTTAAACTCACACCAGGAGTGTGTGCGTGTGTGCCCAAGATCCCAAGAAGAGAATGGAGGAGAAGGGATTGTGGTGTGGCCATCCCCCCTGAGGGGTGATTTCTCGCTTTGTATCTCTCTGTCTCTCTGGTGAGCACACATGGCCTATAGCAAAAACCTCTCCAAAAAAAAAAAAAAAATGCAAGGAAAATTTAGTAAAATAGCACATGTAAAATTTCTAACACATGTCCTGGCACATTAATTGCTCCTTAATGTAATTAGTTTTCCTTTCCCTTGGTCATTCCTACCCCATTAATTTAGTCCATACATATCTGTCAAACCCAAAGGCTGTAAACTCTTTGGGGTCCTCTAGCTCTCATCCAGCACCCTGGTACTAAGTAGTTTCACAGGCATGTCTGGTGAATGAACCCACACCTGTGCCAGATGGAAAGAGAGTTCAGACCAAACACTGCAATCCAGCCTCTGTAAACAGCTTTTCATCCCAGAATGGTCTTCAGAAGCACCCCGTGATTTAGGTAATGTGTGGGTGTGCTATATCTATATTGTTGGAGTTAAGAGCCCTACTCATGGTCAGTGAGGAAGACCAGTTTCAGGACACAGCCTTAAATTCTTAGAGAACCTAATAACAGGTGTTCATAGAGTGTTGGCAAATGCATATTATGGTATCATGAAAAAAATAACTCTATATTGATGTCAAAAAATTTTTGCAAAAATTAATTAATTCTATGTTTCTATAAACTTTCTGAAATCCCTTGTATGAGCAGGTAGATGACAGGCACTTCTATTTAATATGTTATTTTAGTTGTGTATTACTTTTTTTTTTTTTGAGAGGTTT